TCGGTGTCAAAACCGGCGGATCTCGGGTAGGGGGTCCCGAACTGTGCGTCTAGGATCTATGGTAACAGGAGATAGGGGACACAATGTTTACCCAGGTTCGGGCCCTCTCTATGGAGGTAATACCCTACGTCCTGCTTGATTGATATTGATGAATATGAGTGTTACAAGAGATGATCTACCACGAGATCGTAATGGCTAAACCCTAGAAGACTAGCCTGTATGACTATGGTAATGAGTATATCCTTTCCGGACTAACCCCTCCAGTTTATATAGACACCGGGGGGATCTAGGGTTTACATAGAGTCGGTTACATGAGAAGGAATCTTCATAGTCGGTCGCCAAGCTTGCCTTCCATGCCAAGGAGAGTCCAATCCGGACATAGGTACAGTCTTCGGTCTTCATATCTTCACAGCCCATCAGTCCGGCCCATGGATAACAGGCCGGACGCCCAAGGACCCCTTAGTCCAGGACTCCCTCAAATCTGTTACAAGGTGCAAAGTTGAGTAAACTCAAAACCCAACCACCGCAGAATATATAGAGAGAATGGAAGTCATTCCCTATGCCTCAGGCATAGGTTCTATAAATTATGCTATGCTGTGTACCAGACCGATTGTGTACCTTACCATGAGTTTGGCAAGGGGGTACGATAGTGATCCAGGAGTGGACCATTGGACAGCGGTCAAAGTTATCCTTAGTTACCTAAGAGGACTAAGGAAATATTTCTCGGTTATGGAGGTGATAAAGAGTTCAACGTAAAGAGTTATGTCGATGCAATCCTTGACAATAATCCAGATGACTCTGAGTCTCGATCTGGATACATATTGAAAGTGGGAGAAATTAGCTAGAGTAGCTCTATGCAGAGCATTGTAGACATATATATTTGCAAAATACATACAGATCTGAATGTGGCAGGCCCGGTGACTAAACATCTCTCACAAGCAAAACATGATCACACCTTAGTACTCTTTGGGTGTTAATCACATGGCGATGTGAACTAGATTACTGGCTCTAGTAAACCCTTCACGTGTTGGTCACATAGCGATGTGAGATATGGGTGTTAGCATGGTGATGTGAATTATTGGTGTTAAATCACATGGTGATGTAAACTAGATTATTAACTCTAGTGCAAGTGGGAGACTAAAGGAAATATGCCCCAGAGGCAATAATAAAGTTGTTATTTATATTTCCTTATATCATGACAAATGTTTATTATTCATGCTAGAATTGTATTAATCGGAAACTCGATACATGTGTGGATACATAGACAAAACACAGTGTCCCTAGTAAGCCTCTACTAGACTAGCTCGTTAATCAACGATGGTTAAGTTTCCTAGCCATTGACATGTGTTGTCATTTGATGAACGGGATCACATCATTAGGAGAATGATGTGATGGACAAGACCCATCCGTTAGCTTAGCATAATGATCGTTAAAGTTTTATTGCTATTGCTTTCTTCCTGACTTATACATATTCCTTTTGACTTTGAGATTATGCAACTCCCGGATACTGGAGGAATACCTTGTGTGCTATCAAACGTCACAATGTAACTGGGTGATTATAAAGATGCTCTATAGGTATCTCCGAATGTGTTTGTTGGGTTGGCATAGGTCGAGATTAGGATTTGTCACTCCGAGTATCGGAGAGGTGTCTCTGGGCCCTCTCTGTAATGCACATCATAATAAGCCTTGCAAGCAATATGACTAATGAGTTAGTTGCGGGATGATGCATTACGGAACGAGTAAAGAGACATGCCGGTAACAATATTGAAGTAGGTATGGAGATACCGACAATCGAATCTCGGGCAAGTAACATACCAATGACAAAGGGAATAACGTATGTTGTCATAACGGTTTGACCGATAAAGATCTTTGTAAAATATGTGGGAGCCAATATGATCATCTAGGTTCCGCTCTTGGTTATTGACCGGAGAGGTGTCTCGGTCATGTCTACATAGTTCTTGAACCCGTAGGGTCCGCACACTTAACGTTCGATGACAATTTGTATTATATGAGTTATGTGATTTGGTGACCGAATGTTGTTTGGAGTCCCGAATGAGACCACGGACATGAGGAGGAGTCTCGAAATGGTCTAGAGGTAAAGATTCATATATAGGACGATAGTATTTGGACACCGGAAGTGTTCCGGGGGTACCGGGTACGTATCGGGTCACTGGAAGGGGTTCCGGGCAACCCTCGACAAACTACATGGGCCTTAATGGGCGAAGAGGGGGACAGACCAGCCCCTAAGGGGCTGGTGCGCCCTTTCCATATGGGCTGGCCAAATTGGAGTAGAAAAGGGGAAGGAGGAAAGAAATAAGGGAATAGGATTCCCCCTTCCCCCTCTTCCCTTCCTACTCCGAATAGGAATATGAAAGGGGGAGGCCGAATTGGGAGGATCCCAAGTAGGATTCCTCCTACTTGGGGTGCCTCCTTGGCTGCCTCTCCTTCCCTCAAACCTATATATATGAGGGGGGCACCGCTAGAACACACATCAACAGTTGTTAGCCATGTCTGGCGCCCCCTCCCCCCCCTCCACAGTTTACGCCTCCGGCCATATTCACGTAGTGCTTAGGCGAAACCCTGCACGGATCACTTCACCATCACCATCGCCATGCCGTCGTGCTGACGAAACTCTCCCTCGACACTTTGCTGGATCAAGAGTTCGAGGGACGTCATCGAGCTGAACGTGTGTAGAACTCGAAGGTGTCGTACGTTCGATACTTGATCGGTTGAATCGAGAAGACGTTCGACTACATCAACCGCGTTAAACTAACGCTTCTGCTTACGGTCTACGGGGGTACGTGGACACACACCCCCCCCCCTCTCGTTGTCATGCATCTCCTAGATAGATCTTGCGTGATCGTAGGAATTTTTTTGAAATTGCATGCTACGTTCACCAACACAATCAATGAAGCCAAGCATAGCTAAAAACCCACGGGCTTTGTTCATCTTCAAAAGCGTCTCCTGTCCTCAACATTGGGTGATCTCAAAGACTCTGGCCCAAACACTTCTGCCACCACCTTTGCAAATTGTTTAACAAAAAAGATTGAAGTGCTCTCTGCCATTGCCAAGTTATCACAATGTGGCAGTAACCTTCTGCCCATTGTTGTGTCCAAGAAATCTGGCGCAATACCTCCTCTACTCGAAGGACTGATCATGTTGCTTCACACAATTGCAAATGTAAAGAAACAAATTCGAAGACATCCTAAACTGGTGTTGAAATTACCGCTCTGAATACATCGATTTGAACCAAAATTGTTGTGCATCGATCTAGTGTGAGCCTCTTGCCGATCTCTCCATAAGAAGTCATGAACATAAACGGAACCGCCATGCTTCAGTCTCTTCCTGTGCATCATCATGAACAAAGTAATATCTTCCTGCTCGGTCATGTCATATTACTCATCCGGCGAGGAATCATCCCAAAGAGAGGAGTCACATAAACGCATCTACAGTACAAGGCAAAATAGCTCGATGCCAGGATGATAAAAAGCTTAACACCTCTTATTTGACTTTTTCAATATTTTGAAATAAGAAAAAGATCTGAATATAAAATGCAAAGGCCGTCTTATTGAAAACCTTAATCATCACATCCCCTCTCTCCCACTTCACACGATCGGAACACATTGTTCTTATAGAGAGAAATGCCCTTTCCCATCTTCTTAACCTGAAATGAAGGGGGTGCCCCGGGAAGAGATCCAATGAAGAATCTCTGTCATTAAACTACTTCTTCGTGCATGACAAAAAAGTGAGAAGGAATTTTGTTATCTTGTAGAAATCTGGCCGAACACCTTGTGTGCGAGGAGAAGGGAGTCGGCCGCCTGCTCGTCGAAGCCTAGATGGTTGCCGCGTCAGGGCTAATGCGTACGAAGAGCCTCCTTAGTGTCGAGAGGTCGAGCTTGCGGCGAAAAATCGGCAACACCGTGATATTGACGTTAATGAGGACATGACTACCTTGAATACAACCAAAAATATTACATACATGCATATTTATGAGGTGATTTCTAACACAAACTATGCAATAATTTATTTATGTTATTTATAAGGTCGGACCGTACGCAAGCGGGAGCGGGGCTGCCCTTTTTGATTACTCAATCACTAAACAGTGAGGAGTTGGCTAAGGATGATCCTGGCAGCTATTTTTTCAGTACAAGGAATCATCATGCTAGCGTGTTCTTCTGGCCGTAGTAATAAGAGTAATTTCTGACATGTATGCTATAGTCTGTACCAGTAGCTTAGTTAGTTATAGGGTATCAAATGAATAAGAGGAAAAATTGTAACTGACAATGTGGTATAAGTGGGCATCAGATATCAAATTATGATGCCAAATATTAAACAGAGCAAAATTCTATCTACGAAACTCTATGAACTGATAACTGTCAAACTTCAGAGCAAATGACTTGTCGGAAATCTGAAACATCCCATCAGTGATAACCGGAAGCAGCATGGACCTGGAGCACATAACTAGAAATAGTTGGCACTCCACCAAAACAAACATAGTTGAGCAGAATACACAAAACAGTATCGATCAGCACAAAAGGATTAATGCTCATGTCGTCAATTACATATTGTGGTATGAGCAACAAATACCAAATTATGATACCAAATGCTAGGCAGATCGAAAAATTATAATGGCAACTTTAGAACAAAGGAGCTATTGAAAGTTTAGAACATCCGATCGGTGATAACTGAAAGCAGCCCTGACATTAACACAGAATTAAAAATAGTTATAGTTCACTAAAATTGCATAATGAGGCAGAATATTTCGCAGAGAGTTTCGATTGGCACAAAAGGGTCCATGCTCACGGCACCCAGTTGTAGGCGCAATCTTTTCCCTGCTCTGAAGTTAATCATCATCACCACCAATGTCTAATTCTTCCATCGCAGAATCACTCTCAAACCCTTGCCTAGCATTATGAAACGAAGAACTAGATCTAAACACAATAGTACGAGCTAGACTTAAGAATGCAAGTTTTCAGGACTCAGCCGCAGAAATCATCAACTCAGAGGTCGCCTGTGAGCAGCTTCCGGCCAACCTCGAAGGAGACGAAAGCGTCGATGCAGGCGTACTTGATCTGGTCGTAGGAGAGGCAGTAGGCGTCCCACGGGCCCATCCTCACCCTCTGTGGCTTCTGAAGGTTGGCTCCCATGACGGTGCGCGCCACGGCCTGCAGTCCGGCCTGGCGGAGCTCCGGCATTTGCATCCCCTCCGCCGCGAGGCCACGCAGGTCGACCGCGTTGGCCACCGCGAGGCTGTGGTCGTCGCTGAGCCGCTCGACGTCCTCCTGCACGCCGACGCCGACAAAGCGGAGGTTGGGGTCGGCGAGGAAGCCCGACAGAGCCTGGGGGACGAAGTCGGCGTGGAGGAGCTGGAAGATGAGGCAGCGGCGGCCGACGCAGAGCTGCAGGAGCGCGACGGGGTTCTGGGAGGGGCCGTAGCTGGGGCGCCACTCGACGTCGATCCCGACGACGAGGTCGCCGAGGACGGAGCGGATCTCCTGGAGCCAGCCCTCCACGGTCGCGCCGGAGTTGGTCACGGTGGTGACGATCACGTCCGGCCCGAAGGTCACGTCGGTGACGAAGGTGTCGGTGGCCATCGGATGATGGATCGCTCCTCGGTTCTGGGCTAGCTGGCGGGCTGGCGCTCCTTCCGCCCGCAGACGACGAGGAAATTGCACAAACCAACTACTTTTGGGGCTAGTTTTGCATAAAACACCTATTTTACAGATTTGTTGCACAAAACATCATATATTAAGGTAATTCGTTGCAACTAGGTCTAATCCACCATTTGAATGTGTTGACATGATTTCTGACAAGTGGGTTCAGTTTGTAAGTGCATCACGGCAAGAAAAACTTGCCGCGTCAGCAGCCAACTGGAACTGTCAATATCTCACAATTCTTTGCTTCAATTGAGCTGGATTTTCCCCAGAATATTAGTGAGTGCATCTATGATTTATTGGGTTTTTTTAAATATTTTTTTAAAATGTTAAATTTCAACGAGTCAACTAACATTGCAAATATCTCACAAACTGTGGTCCAAATGAGCTGCCTTTTTTCGAGAGTAGTATTGCATACATGTGTGATTTACTGGAATTGTTCTGCATTTTTTTTTTGAAAATTTTGATTTTTGAGTAAAAAAATTATGAGCCAATGTAAACTGCAGATATCTCATTATAATGTGATCCAAACCAGCCGAAACTTTCCAGATTCATTACTGGTTACAAATAGCTAATAGCACACCACAAATTTTCATGTGAAAAACATAAGATTGCTACACAAATATAAAATAATTCATAAATAGGCACAATATTCATAAAATAAAATCAGTAGCACCAAGATATGGCAGATATTGTCGCTGTCAGGCTTTAGCATCCAAGTGGCTGCCATAAAGCCATTATTGACATCATCAACTCTCACGTACCAAAATATTACCGCCATGAGGTGTTACCATCCAAGTAGTTGTCATGTGACCATTACAGACATCATCAAGTTGCACACACCAAAATATTACCGCCATGAGGTTTTAGCATCCAAATACTGGGCGATTTTGCAATGTTAGTTGACTCGTTTAATATTTTTGTTCAAATTTAACATTTTCGTAAAATGCAAAACAAACCAATAAATCATGTGTGCACTCACTAATATTCTAGAAAAAAATCAGCTCAATTGGAGCAAGAATTGTGAGATATTGATAGTTCTAGTTGGCTGCTGATGTGGCTGTTTTTTCTTGTCACGGATGCACTTACAAACTGAACCCACTTGTCAGGAATCCTGTCAACGCACCCAAATGGTGGATTAGACCTAGCTGCAACAAATTACCTCAGAATGTGGTGTTTTGTGCAATAAACCTGTAAAGTGAATGTTTTGTGCAAAACTAGCACCAATAGTAGGTGGCTTGTGCAATTTCCTCGCAGACGACCAGGGTCAAGAGGGGGTCAGAGCGAGGGAGAAGAAACAAACCGAAGGGCGATGGCGGATTGGCGGCGGGCGGGCGGGCGAGGGCAAGGACCAGCCTGACATTATATCTCAAAAGGAGAATATCAGAATAAACCCTCTTACTAGTTGGAAATCCCAAAAGAAAAGGGCAACTATTCGAGCGAGCGATCGTAGTGTTTTTGCAGGAAACGAATTGCCATAACCCCGGAGGCAGGAGGCAGATTCTCAAAAAAAAAAACGGAGGCAATGGCAAGGCTATTTTTCAAAGGCTGGTTTCGAGTTTCGAGGGAACAAGAGGGGTTTTCTGAAGAATAGCGTTGGCAGGCTTTGCGCTCGTGCTTTTGGGTTACTAGCACTGTAGCTGGTCTACTGGCGAGAACAGGGCCTGACGCGTAGGAATCAAGCTGTCAGACGATATGTTTGACCCATCTGCTTCTGGCTGCAGGGCGGTCCTACCAGCCGTTAAGCTCCATCTTGTACAGGTTGCCATGCCTGCCAACTAGACATAGAATCTGATATGCCAAGTTAATTACGAAGAGAGAGTGGTCTGATGATCCTGATAAGAAATAGTGCTGCTACTTTGCCTCGGTACATATTGTTGGCTCCCTTCACCAACCCACAGTAACACGCCACTACAATTATACTTTGTAGTTTGCACGTACAGTTTCGTTAGCTTTTCCTTTCAATTTCATCATGCTATTACAGTTTCGGCCCGGTTTTTTTTATAAACGGGTTCAATTTGTTAAGGTTTTTGATTCGGTTTTTCTTATAAACTGTATCACCACTCTTGCATTCTGGTCACTTTGAGTAATATATTCAGGTGTGGAAACTACCCCCCCCCCCCATGATTCTCA